AATTTTACTTAATCATTATCAAGAGACTGGGGGACCTAAAGATCAGTAAGAAAGAGAAGATAATGAGAAATTCAAGGATGGAGAGCCATTTGGCTGGTGTTTTTGCAATTAACTCAGAAAAATATTATGAGAAGAATGTATTTGGGTACAAGCATAGGAAGGGGGAAATACTGACTTTTGCACAAGTGTCTGAAACATCAATAAAGAGTTGGATAGGTCTAGCACTCGAAAGGTCAGGACTGGAAACACAGAATGAGAAATCACAGGTAGTCGGTCTGTTTAAGTCCAAAGTATTAATGTTGTTACTGTTCTCATGATCTATTAGATACCTCAGAAGGAAATGACACAGAGTAAAAAAATAAGTAGAGAGTGGACAGTGCCAAATCCCTTCACATCATCTTTAGTATCCAGATCTCTATCTGCTTTGGTTGCCAAGGGGCCTTTGTTTGTTTGTTTGTTGAGCTCTGACCATGCTGACCTCCAGTTAGGTGAGGTTCTATGTCATATGCAAACACTGGTTTTATTGAATCAGGAGAAAAAAATTCTTCACAGCAAAGTAAAACAAGTAAGGAACACGTACTGACTTGTACTTCTGCCATTTATGTAGTACTTTCCTTGAATGTCAACACCATTGTTCACAGCCCTGCAACTTTTATTAGTGCTGGCCAATGTGATGAAAACAGCACAGTGCAACTGTATGCTAATTATCAAGGAAAAGGATTGACTGAAAGAAAAAATTCCTTTAAAGAACTTACTCAATGTGTTTTAAAGCAGGTGGTTTAATATATTAAAACAACAACACAGTAACAACAACAAAACCTATGAAGTAAATATGAAATAAATGCTTTCATATGCAACCTTTTCCTTATTTAGTTTTATATTAATAAAGTTTAACTTCTATTCTGATGGGTTACTTTAATTATCAAAAATTGAATTTCCAAAAAGCTATTTCCTAAATTATGTTTTAAACTTCAAAATAACCATGCTTAGAATCTACCCTATAAACATACATAAAATACACATATGCTTTTTAAAAAAACAAAACAAAAACCTATCTCTAATATACTTACTTCCTATATTTTAAATTATGAAACCACAGCAGGCAAAATAGTATATTCAATTAGTTAAAGTCAATCTAGTGAAGAAATTCATGAATGTATACATGGATAGGAGTATTAACAAAGTGGTATTCAGTGGGTCCTTTAAATAAGTGAGATTTTCTTTAAAAAACTATTTTGAGTTCCTTGATCTCTGCCAAAGCCCATGTGTTTACACTGGTTGTTTGAGAAACACTCAATAGGACATTTCCAAAGAACAAATGGCAGGTCAAGTTTAGAACACATGACTTCCTAATTGCACTTAAACAGTACGCAGTGAGCAGGAAATTAGATTCCCCATAGGACACTGGAAAAAGTGTAAGCTTTTTATCTTCAAAGAAGAATATTAACAGGTAATGTTCATTTGAAATCTTCTTTATTATAAATTAGAGCCAAATGTAACTTTCAGAATATAAGTTCCTAAAATTAAAGTTTGAGGTTTAAGTTTTAAAAAGCAGAAAAATACTGACTCATTTAACCATGTCCAACATGGGCTGGCTGCATTACCTCAAATGTGGCAAGGCATTAGATTTGAATACAGGATAGAAAAAAAAAATTAGTCTCACTTTAAAAACGGTTTACTATTAAACCTTTGGTGTATGTATATACTATGACTTCACAGTCCACATCTACTAAACAACATAGGTCTAGACTCAGACTCAAGTTCTAGTTCTGGTTATTAGCAGATATGCAGATATGCATCCTCAGACAAATAAAGCTTCATGTCTGTCTGAGCTCATTTGTAAAATGAAGGGGTTGATTTTGATCACTTCTAAATTTCCTTCTATCTTAAAAATGATGAAATTCTCTAAGAACTAGAGAATTTTTTTAAAAGTTGGAAAAAATTAAGGTGACCTCATTGCAGTACTGAGGAAACTTCAATCTTTGGTTTAATGTCAATTTGTCTTTGGAGCAAATAGAAGTATTATCTTAATTTGTGCCTAAATCTTTGGAATAAGGATTAAATAAATCTTAAATCTTTAGTATAAAGTCCCATGAGAAACCATAAGGAAATACTATTTGTTTTGTCACTCTACCCTCTAAAATTGTCTTTTACCCTCTGCCTATGCAATATAGTGCTAAAGCCCCTACACTGATTGCACTATGTGTTGTTTTATTTATTTTTATTTTTTTTTAATTTTTTTTAAAGCCATATCAAGATCTCTTTTTAGTCTTTAGCTATTTCTCCCCTAAGTGAGTGGTCCTAGATAGAAAACTGCTCAGCAGATGTTAAGAGCAATGAAAGGGAAGCTATTCATTTGTTCACTAATAAGCAATGAACAAGTAAACATTTCTATAAAATGAATTTCCTGAATGAACACAATGAAGGGTATGTGTTCTCCTATTTGTTTGTGATCCAAGTGTTAGATTAAATTTACATCATTATTTTGAAACAGAAGGAAATGATGTTCAAGCTATCACTGATCAGCCTACTACTCATGCTTGTTGAAAACACATCAAGAATAACTCCAACACTGACAACCTCAAATCCCCAGAAGACCCTGATTCTAAATTCCCACATAACCTCGACTCCCAAGATGAACCCGAATCTCAAGACAACTCTGACTGCCAAGATGACCTCGAATCCTAAGACAACTGTGAAGACAGCAGTGACCCAAAAGAAAGCAACAACCTTCAATACTAAGACAAGTGATAGCACCATACTCAATCCAATGGACAATACTCCCTTTTTTTCCTATATAATATTTTTGCTCTTGTGTGTGCACTTAGGCTGAAATGAACTTGAAATGCCTGCATTCTTATCACAGTTCATTATTACCTACTGAATGACAATAAGCACACTAAAAAATTTTATTTCAACTTACTACTTAAGAAATTATCATTATCCTCACTTAATTTGATTGTTTGCAAATTTTAATTGTGAAAGTTTAATTATTACCATAATATGATGGTTCCCTTTCTTATATTATTTTAAAACAATGCACAATCCTATTAATCTTAAAACAAGAAAAATATTATGTTTGCCTTTAAATGTTTGTAAAACTCAACTGAAACTCAGATGTTCACATTAAAAAAATTATGTCGGTGGCATTTAACCAAAACGTCTGTGTGTATGTGGTTTTTTTTTTTGCGGTGGGAGGGGAGTGTTGCTAAGGAATGATGTGTGGGTTAAGTTTTTGTTTTGTTTTGATTTTAAGAGAAAAAAGTGGAATCTAATAGGAAGAAATTACAGTGTTCTAAAAAAGCAACATAACCATCTTTGTCACCATGTCCCCTGAATGTTATAGTAATATGTCATTACAGTAAAAAAAAAAAAAAAAAACGGGGTGGTGGTGCCAATTCTGCTTACTTTTGTTTTTTTTTGGCCTTTATAATAAATAATAATGCTGCTTCATGTTATTAATAGTGTAGTTGTTAAAAGTATAGCTATTGTCTGACAGACCTAGGTTTGAACTGCAATGCTGCTCCCTACTAGTTGTACTTTTTGTCTTAAAAGAAACAATGCAACTCACGAAGGCAGTATTGTCTGAAACATCCAATTAAACAAATTTACAATATATTACAGACAAAAAACAGATAGAGTGTACTTTATTGAAGGAACATTAAAAAAAAAAAAGCTTAATAATGTCAATGAATCTATGCTTTGTGTATCATATCAAATAGGTACTTTTAGTAAGGGGTCACTACCTAACCCTAGTTGAATAAACTCCCTAGGATAAGACAACAGGATAGGAAAGATTTGAGTTTTCCCTCTACCTTCCTTTTTTCATTCTTCTCACACCATTTCTCAACCTCAATTTGTTTCCTATAAATTGCTAAATTTTGCCACCAATGTTCATTAAGTCTAGTGACATAGTTCCTCAATGTGACTAAATTCAGAAAAGTCAGAAAGATTAACTCCTACATCAAAAACCAACCCAGTCACCATCAAGCTGACTCCTACTCATGGTGATCCTATGTGTTTTAAAGTAGAACTGCATTCCACAGGGCTTTCCAGGGCTGATTCTTCAGAAGCAGTTTGCCACGCCTTTCTTCTGAGGTGTCTCTGGGTAAATTTGAACTGCCGTTTGTTTATCAGCCAAGCACATTAACTGTTTGCAACTTCTCAAGTTCTATGTAAGTGCTGATAAATAGGAGAAGGAGACTAATCAAAGTCCTTGAAATTTCAGAGCCAGAGTTCACGCTACCATATCACAATGTTTCTAAGGTTCAATTACCATGAACTTACATCATACTAAATGGGAAAAAATAACAATGACCAAATAATATAACAGGTATGTTCTCAAAAGGAAAGCAGAACGAGGCAAGAATGAAAAGACAATGGCAGAGAAAGCAATGCAAGCATTACAACGATCATTGATGAGGAGCTCATAGCATCTCCAGAAAGGTTTTCTAGGAACTAGCCTTGACTGAGGATAGCAAGAACCAACACAATCAATTTGCTGGTCATCTTTATAGAGATTTCCCATATCACCTCTAAATAATTTTCTAAACCACCCTGCTGCTGCATTACATAGCATATTACTAAAAGTTCTCAGATACAGACTCTTAAAATTTTATGTCTGCTTACAAAAAATTATCACATTATACTATCTAATCAGAATATACCCCCAAAAGATTCTTTGCAACTTTTTATTCTTAATTAATTTTTTAATATTACCTAAAACACCTTATTTTTTTTAATCTGTTGTAAGTAATACTAAAAAAAATTGATGTAGGAAAGAAAAGTCAGTATGAAATAGGCAGCCTAAAAACCAATTTCTAATACACTAAGCATCATTTTGGAACAGGATGGGTACTTAACCAAGATTATAATCCCAGGTAAACTTGTCTTCAATTTCTGTTAAGTCAAATGAGAAAACTCAAGCTTGCTATGTCTCTGTATTTGCTCAGAGTTTAAACAAATCTGCTAAGAGAAAACAAAAACACAGCATTTCTTACCTTCGTGCAACATAATAAAAAATAGGATTCCCAGCTTTGGAGGTCCCAGCTTGGTAGAAAATACTTAATGTTTTCAAAGCCTTAAACTCTTCTTTTTCATGTACCTGGTGCCTGAAAGAAAAAAAAGAACAGAATAGCTCATAAGTTTTGTACTGTCCACTGAGTATTCACAAAAATCTATGATAGAACAATGGTAAAATATTTTTAAAATGACAAAATATTTAAAAAGCAACAGCTTTCTAAAAGGTAATTTGGCAACATGCACACCAAAAAAGTTTCCCTCAACCACTGTCTACTTTTAAAAATAATGGAAGAAAAATATTATGAGTTAACCACAGGACTGTTTACACTCAAGGGATCTCCATTCCCTCCTCTCCCCCTGAACACAAGTTTTTGAGTTTTGTTTATTTATCTGTTTTTAAAGAGCTCAGTTTATCAATCTTTTCTTTTCTGGCTTAGGGATTGGGAGTTAGTGAGCAAGGCCCTCAACTCAGTTAAAAAGGAAATTGCTCACATTTTCTTCTTTGATTCATGGGGAGTTTATCTTCATGAATGGCAGTAAGCATCTTTTCCCAGATGGCTGTTCAACTGAACCAATACCACTTATTAAAAGTCCATCCTAAACTTGTGATTTTGAATACCACTTTCATCATATACTAAGTTCCTATACGTATTTAAATATTTCTGATAAAGGATGGTTTAATTTTATATATCCTGCTAAGACTCATTGTGCTTGTTTCATCTGAAGATTCATGTCATTCATCAACCCTGGAAAATTCTCATCCATTATCTCTTCAAATACCACCTCTTTCCTGTTCTCTCTAAGCTCTATTTCTGGAACACTATTAGACCTTTTCATTGTATCGTCTGCATCTCTTAACCTATTTAATATTTTCCATTTTGTTCTCTCTGTATACTAACTGTACTTTAGATAATCTGTTCACAAAATATCTTCTAGCTATATATTATTTTTAAAAAAAATTTATTTTTCAATTGTGATTTGGGTGAGAATTTACAGAGCAAATTCACTTTCCACACAGCAGTTCATGTACACTTTGTCTCATGACACTGACTACACTTTACCCCCGTGCAACAGCTCCCCTCCCACTTCCTCCCCACAGTTACCTCTTCCCTGTGTCCATCCCTCTGTGCACTCCTGCCCTGAGCTGTCTCTCTGTGCGTAAACAGGCCTTCTTTCTCCCATGATTGTTCTCTCCAAAGAGTGTGTCTACCTCAGGTAAATGTTCAATTCATATGCCTGTCTTCTGTTTGGCTAGAAGCCACAGGTGTGGGTTTAATTTCAGACCTGAAGGGCAGCTAGGGACCACAGTCTCAGTGGCTCCACCAGGCTCTATGAGACCAACAAACCAAACCTGGTCCCCCACCTTTTTTTTTTTAACCCCCAAATGATTTTGAGTTTTGTTCCACATTGTTCTCCCTCTCTATCCAGGATCTCCTACACAGATCCTCCTCAGAGTGGCTGACAGTGGTAGCCCAGCACCATCTATTTCTTCTGATCTCATAGTCGTATAGGCTGAGGATTGCATAGTGTACCAGTTGCAAGGACTAAAATTGTTTCCATGAATCTTTGGTTTTCTTCACTTTTTTTTTGCTAGGAATGAGGAGAGACCCATGGTTGCATCTAGATGGCTGCTTGCACGCTTTTAAGATCCCAGACACTACCTCGCCAAAGTAGGAGGTGGAACAATGTTTTGTGTAGTATGTTGTGTAGCTATGTATTTTTAAAAAATATTTAACATTTTCTATTTTACCTAAGTATTTCATGTGTCTTTCAGCAGCGTGGTGGTGGTATTCAACCAATTCATCATGTTACTGGTACCAGAAGTTCCAGCATTTGTTTAATATTAATGGTAACTACATAGATATCCTTTGATAGAGGACATAGTTACACATGTACATAGACAGATAAACGACTGAAAGACTAGACACTAAAATGTTAGCAGAATTATCTCTAAGAGGTATAATGGAGAATTTCTTACTTTCTTCTTTAGACTTTTCATGCTTTGAGCAGTTTTAACAGTTATTATTTTTATAACTGAGAAAAGTTGTAAAGCTACCTTTTCTTTCTAGAAAAATGTGCCTCAATGAGTATAAGTGGGAATTTAGAAAAGAATAAAAGTAACATTTAACATTTATTCAACACTTGATATGTACCAGACACTTATCTATGTATTTTATCTGTCAGCTCATCTAGTCTTCAAAAGCACAGAACACTGCGTTATTAGATAAAGTACAATCCTGAGCGAAAAGGAATATCCGAGAGGTTTTCTTAGAAAAATGGCTAGGACATCCCCAGTAATAATGGGTGGAAAAAATATTTTTATATTTTTATACTATGTAATTGTTAATTACGTACTATAAAAACTATGTATGAGCAATATTCCTTTAATAAACATTGGAATAAATATTTATTACACTAAGAAACATCTAACAGAGTTAAAGGTAAAAATTTGGAAAGGAGACTGTTACATATTCATGCATTCTTTTAACAATATCAAAGAAATGAATTCATGTGTACAAAACTATACCATATACCTAATGTTAATGATAGGCACTTAGAGTGCAAGGCAAAATATATACAAATATTTTATGTGAATTAACTCCTGAATGTACGATTGTTGTTTTCCTTCTGCACCTGGAATATACCATAAACAAAACACAGAAACCATTTAGAAGAACTTCCTAAGCATAAAGTACTATGAAAGGTACCTGGAAGACTAAAGGATTCAGTAAACTATCTTCACTATAACATCATATATATGAGTGCCTGACAATGAGGATCTTTTAGTTCAACTAATTTAAATGAGATTTAAAACAACTGTCCACAGAAATTTTGTAACAATATTGTAGTATTCTAAATTTTTTGAACCTCAACCTAGAAGAAATTAATACCATAAACTTTTTGGAGGGTCCTAAAAAATGTTATAGTGTAGTAGAACGAGTCCAGTACTTACAAATAAAGGATCTAAGCACTAGGTATAGAATCTTGGGCAAATCAGTTATTCATATTGAGTTATATTTTTCCCTATTATATGAAAAGAATGTTATCTATCTTCCATCATAAATATTAAATGAGAAAGCATATCAAAGTAACTAATAAAACACTATTTAGTGTAAGAAACTGTTATTTTTCTAAGAAAATCTTCTTTTAAAAAAAGCATATTTCAATTATGTATATGATATATATGTATATCAATTTTGTGATCCCAAAACATAGCAATGTGGTTATTAGGTATATCTTTCCTGATAATCTTTTATCAGAATACAAGCATATCTAACAAGTGGCTTGGTAAACTTTGCACCTCAACCAAAAAGAAAGTAATTGTCAATTCAAAGGCGTACTTTACCTCGTCATGAATTCTTCAAACTTGGAACTGGTCAGGTTAAGGCTGGACCAGTGGGTGTCTGCCACGGGTTTGTGCTCTGGAGGACCCAAGTACGCAAGGAGTGTTGCCATCTTATCAAAAGGTCGTCTTCCAACAGCTTTATGATCCCTAGATACAGCAAATTATTTCTTTTAAAAAAGGAGCATTTCACATTTAACGGTACACATTTCTTTAGACTGCCATTGGCTGCTTTCCTCTTTTAATGTTAGCAGTGATTTCTGATTTGTAAATAAGACCAATAAGACAATAGGCATATACTGAAACATCTTAGAAATATGATCATACCCCAAACTATAAAATTTATATAAAAATATTACATTTTCCCCTATGATTTTTAATGCATTACCACTAAAGGGCAACCAATCAGTAAGTAAAAATAACATTCTGATCCTTTAGTTTCTCATTAGGAAAAGAATCTATCTTGAGAAAGCACTATTTAGGAATTGAGCATATTGCCCCTTGTATGAGATCCCTGATTAACCAGAGTATATAGGGATTTTCAGTTAACTATTCAATAGTTAAAGCTAGATGAGAATAATAAGATACCATTTACCAAACATCAAATTGATAAAAATTATTAAGTCTGATAATGCCAAGTTTGGTGAGGACATGTACAAAGAGGTACTCTCACACGGTGTAGGTCACAGTGTAAAGTGGCACACACTCTGAAAAGCAAGTTGGCAGTACCTAGTAGAGATGAGGCTGTATTACATAACCCAGGAGCCAGCAATTCTATATTTATTAATACACAAGGAGACAAGTACACAGATACCTATTGCACCATTTTTGATGGTGAAAAAGTGGAAATAAGCCTAAATGTTCATCAGTTTGATAATGTGAAAATAACTATGACAGAATTATTCAATGGAATACAAATATAAGTCCAATAATAAATCTCAAATATACTCTATTGAGTGAAGAGCCCCAATTCACTATATCATTTCTGTAAAATTTAAAAAAAAATGTTATATACATACATATATATACACACACACATATATATAAAAACATCGTGAAATTATATATATATGTGTATATATATATATATGTATATATAATTTCACCATGGTTTTTTGTTAGTTGCCGTCAAGTCAGCCCCCAATTCATGTCAACTCCACCTGCTACAGAGCAGAGCTGCTCCACAGGGATTTCCTGGTTGTAATCTCTAAGGGAACATTTCACCAGGCCTTTCTTCCAAGGAGCTGCTGGGTGGCTTTGGACTGTCAACCTACAGGTTAGCAGCCAAGTGCAAACCACTTGCACCACCGAGGCTCCTTTATGATATATACACACAGTATAAAAATATATCCAGGAAGCATACCTACCAACTTTAAGAAGTAGGTATCTCTGGAGAGAGAGGTATAGAAATGGGATTGTGGGGAGGAAGCCTTTTAAAGATTTTTTTTTTCCCCTGTAAGAAAGAAAATGCTATAAAAGATCTAAAATTACATAGCAAAATAAATACCGTTAAAGCTAGGTGGTAGACAGATGTCTCTGTTCTGTGAATTATATACGAGAAAAGAATATTTTCATTTTTAAGGTTCCATAGTTTGAGTGTCACACAGATAAAGCATCTTTTTCTATTTGAGGGGAATGCATCAGTCATGCCCATGTCTACTTTAATCATTAACAATTCATAAAGGACTAAACTGATCTGTTTCATATTCCCATCTCCTAACTGCTAAGCCTAGTCTCATCGTCTCCTGTCTTTCCTGTAAATGAGCAAACCATTTGTATTTGCATTTAAAAACATCTGGAGTCATTCTACTTTATAAGAGAACGCCACATACATAGGAATTTGGATACTCTATAACCATTCATAATTAAGGAGAGCAAGGACATGATTTAGGGTATAAGAGATTTAGCCAAAAACAGCTCATGAAATTATTCCCAAAATAGTAATTTTCAATTATTGAGTACATTGTACACAAAATATTTTATCTCTACATACTTAAAGTATGACAAAGGAACACTGGTAGTTCAGTGGAGAAGGCATTGGGCTACTAACCAGAAGGTCAGCAGTTCAACCCACCAGCTGCTTCACAGAAGAAAGATAGGGAGATCTACTTCCCTAAAGATTTACAGCCTTGGAAACCCAACGGGGGTGGCTATGAGTTGAAACCAACTTGATGGCAATGGGTTTGGTTTTGGTTTGAAAGTATAACGAATAGATTTATTATAGAATTAAAATATTGGATCTTTTATTTATTAAAGCCCTAAGAATTTAACTGCTCTTCAGATTACTGTCAATACTCTTTTGATTTAAACAAACTTCTATGTCTTACTGCACATTATATTTGACAATTTGCAAGCCAGAAAAAAATAAAGAGCTAATTTGTGATTTCTTACCTTGACACTGAAAAGGTCAGCAGCATCTAGGTAGGCTTGATCATTTACTACTACTTATAACAGAAAGTATAAATTTCCCCTTCCAAATAAGTTTACTCCCAAGAAGACGCAAAGTTAAAAAGCACTAGTCAAGCCCCAATAACTGTATTAATACAAATTTAAACCAAGAGTGGTGAATAGCCCGTGACTGGGAAATCTTACCTATTGCTGGAAAGGTACTGGCCAATCTTCTCTTGGTTGTTCCAGAGCAGACGATGCAAAGCAAGCACGTTGCCGTCGCTGATGAAGGAAAGACTATGATTGACCGCGTCGCTTGTGGGACAATCAGACGCTATATCAAGGAAAAACCTTGAAAAATGCCAAAGTTATTAGAATTTTCAAAAACAGATATACTGATACCAATGTCTGAATCAAATTTACATGAATAACTGTGAGACAAAACAGATTATAAATATGAAGAGATTGTTCACATAATGTAAATGTGACTAAACAAAACGAGATAAAGAAAAAGTTGACTTTCTATGTCAGATACCCAGCTTCAGTTTCAAAGTAGGTACTAAAGTCACAGAACAATAGAATTTAGATGAATGATACTCTGGAGAGAATCTCGTACTTTACAGATAAGGCGTCAGAGGTCCAGACTGCCTCAAAATTAGCTTGTTAGATCAGGGCCAGGATCAGCACTTTTTTTCTCTTAACTTTCCATGGGTAGCCAATTTGCTATCATGAATCCTATGCTAACATTCACTTTTCACTCCAATATGGCCTGCAGTCCAACAATTCAGCTTTAAACTCCAATTTCCCTAACAGAAAGCAGCAGATATGAACTATGATGATGACAAACTGGCAGAGAGAGTTTAAGTCTAGTTTAAGCTATGAGTCAGAACAATTAGATTCATGCTGAATGAACAGAATCCTGAACATTAACTTACATGTACAAAGCATTTTCTTATAAATTATTTCTTTAAAAATAACTGAGACAGGCAAATACAGTACTATGCCTAGTTTACAGATAACAACACTCAGAGAAATAATGTGAAGCAACTAATTAATTATAGAAACCTAGCACAAGTCAAGTTTTCTAAAATCATGAAACTTTAACAGTTGTCTAATTACTTAACTAAATCTTGTAAGTACATTATTTAGCTTAAAGTGTAACTTTTATTTTTAGTTCAGACACATTTTGAAGTTGTGTATCAAAAATATCCTAACATCAAAAACATCCTGATTATACAATATTATGTGTCATCTGTACCTTTTTGGTTTTAATTTTTACAGAATATTTCCTCTCCTACATATTATAGTACCTCAATCCTTTTAGTAGATATGTCAAAAATCACACTTGATTTTCAAATAACACAAAATGGAAACCAACACCAAATTATAAAGAATATGGATTTATTTCAGTACTATCTCTTATAAAGAAATAATGTAAGGTAAACTATATTATTGATCTAGAGAGATAAGATGAAAACAAACAAATGAGACACATGAGGCTCATGCAGGTAAGGTACAGGGACTTGAGTGACTTAGTGGCTGGCTGCTTACCTTCGTGCGGCATCAAAGTTGCTTTTAACAAAATCATTGAAAGGCCGCATATGCTCTTCTTTTGTGAAGAGAACATGATTGGCAATACTCTGAAGTATCTAAACAATAAAATGGGGTTATGATGAATTGGATTGTACATAGTCTTCAAATAATATGAATTTTCTTATTAATATAATTTCTACTAGGAATTAAAATCATTAAGTTTTTATTCTATTTTTTTTCCAAATAGTTATACACATATTAATACACATAGATATTTAATATTTTAAATGCCTTTATCCATTAAAAAAAAATCCTACATTTCAGTCTCCATCTCAGACTGAGACAGTCACTCAGAAAATAAGATATGTGCTGAAAAACTTTCCCATAATTTTAAGGCCTATGAAGTGTCAGTCTAGTGAAATCTTTTGTGATATAAATAAACCAAATAAAATAAAAGCATATTAACTAAAAAATAAAATAAAAACGGCATTTTACAAATATATTCAAGAAGAAAGTACTATGAGTGTAAAAAAATGAAATTTAATTGGAACAGGTATTTAAGATAGCTAAATTATCAAAATAATTCTTCACCTTTGACATTAACTTCAAGCCCCTTTCGATTCTAGGTGGTGGCTTTTTATCTAAAATCCCTGCTTCATAGGGTGAGACAATAGCAGGATTGATAAATCTGAGGAACATGGCACTTCCTACTGCACCGATGCTGTTCTGAGGAAAACGCTGGCTAACCACCTGAAAACAAGGAGTTCAAAATTGAGTATATAGTTTGAATTAAAACAAGGAAATGGGAAGAAAAAACTCAAAGGTCAAACTTTACACAAGCTCTGAATCGACCAATTGTTGAGAACAATACACCTCTACATTTCCGTTATCCATACAGTTTATACTTAACCCTAGCCTTGCATTATTTTAAAGCATAATTAAGGTATGTGAGAGGAAAGAAAAGCCTAATGGGCGAGTTGTATAAAAGAGACCTAGAAAAAAGATCTTAATTTCACCACTATTGTTTATATTGCAGGGTTGATCAGTAACAATAGCAGACCAAATTTTCACACAATGATTTTTATATTTTACTATGATTAGCAGACATGACAGCATGGTCACCTCTTATAAGGTACAGCTAAGTTTTCAACAGCACACCCTGCAACAGCCATACCTAACAGTAAATAATTACATTTTGCCATCTACCAAGTAAAATTCTACTTCTTTAGCAAAATGCTAAACACAAACGAAACAAATTTTAGGTCTCTTAGATTCCCATTGAGAGAAAAAGTTACTTACAAGTAATGTTATTGCCAGTTCCTTGTCTTCACCAGCATGCTTTCTATTATAAGGGCCTATCTATTACTTAAACCACGAGGAAGGGGAATTCTTGGGGACCTAAAAGAAAATGGATCCCACTAGCAGAAGAGAGAAATCTCAATTTATAATTGTCAAATAAAAAGTTAAGGCACAGAAAGGAAAAAAAAAAAAAAAAAGTTAAGTCTTCAAGAAATGGTTGCCCACTGTAAACTCAGTATTTAAAAGTGGATTTATTTTCTCTTTATAAAACGCTCTGCTTTCAAGGTAAAGTAACAGGTAAATTCGATCGGGAAAAGCATTATGTAACTGGTTCGGCTCCCATCTCTTCACACTACCCCTGTCTTAAGTTAACACAGGAAAAATATATTATTCTGGAATTTACATTTTTTACATATACCATACACACTTTTAATTTTTTAAAACAGAACATTCATGTAATATTTTTAATCTCTACCAACTGTTCTTGCTGGATATTTCTAACTGTGGCTATTAACCCAGCAGTGACGGCAACAGTGGCTCCACAGTACTCCATTCAAAACTCTGAGATTCCAGGCATAACTCTGCATCTCAAACAGTGTTGGGAAAAAATGAGAAAATGGAGTTTATGTTCAGAATCTCACCTAACTCTATTTTTCTTACAATGCCTCAATGAAGCAGTATTTTTTGTCATGAATTCATAAGGCTCATGGATTCCAGATTAGCTTTGGAAAGAACAAGGATTATTTAATTTCATTCTACTCCATTCAATGCTTCACCTGGTCCACATTTTAAATGTGTTCTTATCTACTTCCTAAAATATCAAAATAATGTTCTATGATTGCTGTTAGGAAATTACTAAAAACAAGACTTTTGCAAGCCCAAGAAAATCTATGTAAGAGTTTATTAACAGATGAGTTTTAAGTAATATATTCTCACCTGTCTTTAAACTACATAGGTCAGGAGTTTCGTTTGTGTTATAGTACTTCAGGTGGTTACTGAAGGAAGAATCACCATACACTGAAATAAGGGGAAACTGGCAAAGAAGGCTGAATACAGCACCCTTGGTAGAATGTCTTTAAACACTGCTTCAGGGTTATTTTTAGCTGAAATACCTTTTTTTAATGGGATTGAGATGAAAATTCAAGTGTTTTGACTATTCCAGTATAGTATTTAACCTTTTAGGGACAAAAACCTCTTTAAAAATCTGACAAGGAGTATGAGAAATAAACACAGGTACTCACACAGACGAAACTCTGTTCGCAATTTCAGAAAGCTCACAGACCCCCATTACTACTGAGTGGTTCTTTAAGAGAAGGAGCTCTGGTGGTGCAACGGTTAAAACATTTGGCTGCTAACGAAAAGGTCGGTGGTATGAACCCCCAGCTCCAGTACAAGAGAATGATAGGGCAGCCTGCTTCCATAAAGCTTTACGGCTTTGGAAATCCTATGGAGCACTTCTACTCTGTCCTATAGGGTTGCTATGAATGACTAGGAATCAACTTAATAGAGTGGGTTTGGGGGTTTTGGGTTCTTTAAGAATTCTCAAACTGTAATTATATAACAGAAGAAATAGTTCAACATACGTACAAGATTTTAAAGCTTTTAAGAAGTAATTTAGCAAGATGGAAAAGAATTTAAAATTGCTTTACATTTAATTTTAAATAAAAACCAAACCAAATTCATTGTCATTGAGTCTGCTCGGACCCACAGCGGTCCCTCCTTAGGTTTCCAAGGCAGTATCACTACAGAAGTAGGTTGCCCAATCTTCCTTCTGAGCAGTGGCCTTAGGCACTACACCACCAGAGCTAGGTTGTTTTAAAAGAATTAGCACATATTCAATTTAACCCATTAATATTCTGAAGTGACTTTCAAAATGCTAAAAAACATAGCCTGACTGTCAAAAAACCAAGTAATTTATGAAACAGTAACCTGCTGGGAAAGTCTGTCTCATAAAGATCAATAATGCAAGCACATGGAGAGCTCTATTAAAATACACTGTTTTCAGGAGTATTACTGCTATTTACTGCTTTTCTCGAGGACCAAAAAAAAAAGTTTTAAAGCATGACTCAGGTTGATACCTGATTTATATTTACTACTACTCAACCTCAGAATGTAAGGAATTCTTTCCCAAAAGAGAGACCGTTATAAAATTTACAAAAAGCACTAGACCTTCACCATCTTCTACATCTTCAAAAATAGTTCACGTTGGGGGATCTATGTAGGAGATCCTGGATAGAGTGGGAGAACAAGTGGAACAAAACAAAATCATAAAAAGAAAATAAACAAAGGACCAGGTCTGCTGGTCTGATACAGCCTGGTGGAACCCCTGAGACTATGGCCCCTAGCTGCCTTTCAGGTCTGGAATTGAACCCACTCCTGTGGCCTCCAGCCAAACAAAAGACAGGCATATGAGCTGAACATTTGCATTAGGTAGATACACTCCTTGGAGAGATCAATTCTTGGAGAAGAGAAGGGCAGTGTATGCACAGTGAGACAGCTCAGAGGGCAAGAGTGCATGGGAGGTAAGGACACAGGAAAGAGGTAGCTATGGGGCGAGAGGAGGAGTGGGAAGAGAGCCATTACATTGAAGGAAATTGCAATCAATGTCATGAGACAAAATGTATATAAGCTGCTGTGTGGAAAGTGAATTTGCTCTGTAAGCTTTCACCCAAATCATAATAAAATTTTTTTTTTTTTTAAAAATAAAGCTCATGCCAAAACCAAAAATATTCATACCCCAAGAACATGTAACATTTCATGTCATCATATAAATATGTAATCTCACTGATAATAGGATCAGTATATTTTTCGAACTAAGACCTGATAATGAGTATTAATTAAAATGCTGTATAAGTTTTGTGAAGGAATCAAGTTATAAAAGTATTGCTTTTCTTTTACCATTAATTAACATAAATATAACTTCCCTTTTTAAATATACACAAACTCAAGTGCTTTGTTTAATTAATAAAAATCTGATTTGGATCCCAAAGACATTCTCTGCATTAAATGTCAAAGTTGGGCCAGTCTATGTTTTGAAACCAGCTGTCAATCAGTCAAATATCCCCTTGGAAAAGCTAAAGTACATGATGCAAATACATGCAGTCATAAAGTACACAGCAACAAGAAGATTATTACCCATCAAGTTTACTGCAAATTCTCCCTGAGTTAGGTTAGCAAAGACGTCTTCAAAGTAAACTGCATTATATAAAGTTTGAATATATATAATAAGCAGTATTATCTCTAATATGACTATATAGTCATACACAAGCCAGAACACTTTCTCTATATGTTTTATTTATTCCAATTCATGATACATATGTTCCAAAAGAAAGGTAGCTTGCTTAAAAAAAAAAAGAAAGAAAAAGAAAAATAGATTCTGTTAAGCAAACAAACCCCACAAAATTACATTCTAAATTTATAGTAATTATACAACCTTCATACTTTGGAATGCATTCTAAAATATCTCAAATTACCAATTAGATTTTACTTATTTCCATTAGGATCTCACCTGTGCTGAGAAATACATTCCAAAATTTAGTATTATCAGAAACTTTAAAAATTGTGAAAATAACTCTAGTAGAAAAAAAAAATCATTTCAAAGAACAATTTTAGACAAAATCTTAATAAATAAAGCAATGTTAAGGCGGCTAGAAAACATGCTCTAGACAAACACAGAAAGGCTGAATTTTAATTTATGTGATACACTACACAATGGCATTAGTATAACACTGGACAAGAGTGTTAGAAACAATAAATTAATTTCAACAGTGATGGTGTATATTATGTTAAACCCACATATGCTGAGAATTAGAAGGCTGAAGCATTAGAAAAAGATGTTTTTATTAAGCAAGAAGGTCACCCAATCCAATCCATTTGCTCACAACTGACCAAATTTACACTTAACATACTCAAGAAGAAAATCTTGAATGAACACAATAAAAGCATGTATCTCTAATTTAATTCTGAATTTAAAACAAATGTATAATATATAAAGCTTAGACACAGAATAAAAGATGAAACCAGATAAATTCTATATTCTGAATTATACCATTTTAGGAAAAATTATATACCTAAATCATAAAAGTTTCTTTTACATGTTTCTCTAAAATCATATGAATGATATGAAAAAAATATAGTACTCTCTGATAAGGATAAGTCTCACTGACAAATGCTGGCAAATTTAAAATGAATGCATGTTACATTTTAGACAAATTTCATTTACTGGAAGAAAATAATTGACTACCGTAATTTTCTTCCTTTTAAATTAAGGCAAGTTTGTAGAAGTAGTATATTCATATCATGTTTACAAAATAAAGTGTTTACGAATATTAACTCACTGAATTTTATTTTATTTCAAAAGCATAATGTTTTCAATCCCAATACTTAAATACTGATTTTCTCTAAGGAAAAGGTGGTTTTATCACTAGAATTTCTATAATCAAAGTACAAATATCTAAATTATGGCTGAGACTATGCAGATAAAAATATAAAAGGTAAAAAATAAAAGTTAGCAACTTTTAGGTAAGATTTGGAAAGTGACACTTTTCCTCTGTACTTCTAAGGAGTTAAGAAAACGTTCACCTCTAGGAAAAGGAACCACTCACATTACCTGCAAACAAGCAGCAAGAATGAGGAGAGTCAGCACTTCCTAAGGCCTTGAAATTAAGTTTCTTTTGCATTCATTTATAATTTTAAAAACAGCAATGATAAAGTTAGACCAGGATATATCCAATGCAACGAATGCCCCCAAATGCCTTTGGGATAAATCAAACCAAAGGAACACAGAGAATGTTTCAATGTAACTTAATTCCAGGGTTAATTGAAATGAAAGCTATTTTGTGCCAGAATTAGTAGAATGATTTTACAGTGAAGGTCAAATAGGCTGAAGTGAAGATGTTCTTAACAAACAGCAAAAGATTTTTGTTTTGCTTTGAAAGAAACAGCTAATAAAAAGTTCTCCAGACTTACTGATTTTTTGTTTTCCTTTTTTTCTTTTACTGTAGCTTTATTCAGTAGGGAGTGGCAAGTTGCCTACAGAACAGAGATGAGCACAAACAAGTCACAGCACCAACTACACACAGCAACAAAACAATGTTGGCTTGTACACAAAATTACACGGTAAAATGTAACACAAATGGAATCAACAAAAAATTAGAAATCAACTGCATTTTGAGGGATGAATTTTAATCCTGGATTTTAATTTTTATTACATTTTAAGCCAAAGCACTAAATAAATGGCAAGGAAAGTTGAGACTCAATCATATCTACTATTTCTGGCTATAAGTCACAGAAAAGCTCTCACCAAGTAGATTTGAGAATATTAAATATGTACATTTGAGTTACTTCCTACTTTTAATAAATTTTACAGAAAATGCTCATTATAAGCAGAGATCACACACTAAAAACACTTCTTTGTGTTAACATTATTTTTTTTCTTGACTTGTAAAATATTTCTCTGTGTATCCTTCAATTGACTTAAAATTCATTTTCTGATATCTGGCACTTAATTAAAATCCTACTGATTAAAAAATTAAATATAATAGAAATTTTACTTTAGAGATTTTCAATTAAAGATCTTAGTCTCTTTCTCTTAAGAAATATTACTCATAAAATTTCACATATATTTCAATGTTTATAGGCTACTTTCTGAAATGGTTCTACTAAGAGGAAGTTAAAAGCTCCACAACATTTGGGAGGAGAATGTTATTGGCTCAACTAGAAATAAGCATTAATTAATACTAAAGTAAAGAAAATGTGGAGAAACTTAAAAGAATAAAACTGTGCTTTCACCCAAATCATAATGTAAAAGAAAAAAAAAACTGCGTACCCACTTAAAATTTTTTGCTATTACAGCTAACCATTTATCAGAATGTCTTTAAAAAATAAAAACACCCACCCCACAAAAAGAAAAAGAAAACAAACCCATTGGTTTCACCTCTCAGAACTCCTTCAAGGCTAAAAAGTTCTTTTAAAATTAAAAGACTCTTGACTGGAGTAGATTAGAAAGAGCTATTGTTTTTAAATTCAAAATGTTTTCTAAACCAAACTGGAATTTGTTCTAATCCACTGATACATGGCATCTTATTCTAGCAATTCTAGGCATCCAACATCATAACCCATAAAAATTTGGGCTTAAAGTTAATTAGTTCAACATTCGTCCTTCCATCCACTCATCCAAGTAGTTATTGCCAGACACCTGTTGAGGCACTGGGACACAGCAGTAAGCCAAAAATACATAGTCCTTTGTCTTACAGAGTTTGGTTCTACCTTCAGACTACGTACGAAAGCACTAGGTGCCAGCTAGTCGATATTCCCTATTTGACTCAGAGTAACCTCGTGAGACAGAGTAGAAATGCCCCAAAGGGTTTTCTCAGCTGTAATCTTTACAGGAGCAGAGCACCAGGTGTTCTGAGGAGCTGCGAGGTGGGTTTGAACTGACAACCTTTTACTTAGCAATCCAGTGCTTAACTGCTGTGCCACCAGAGCGCCACTCAAAAGCACTAGTCATCAAATGTATCACAAAACTTAAGTGTCACAATTTTTTTTTTTTTTTTTTACAATTCTGGTATATAACTATCTTTTACAGACCTAAAAAATTACATAAACTCTGTTCAGAGAAGCAGAATTACTGGGAAAAGGTGGCCATTTATTTAGAAACATAGTATTTAGGTCTTTCATAGAATTCTCTTACTATATAATTTAAGAGGATCACCATTCTAGGAATTCTTTACCCTTTATTCCAAAACTAACAGGAGGAAAAGTAGAGACAAATAAATGGGAAAATGGCTTAATTATCTGACACATATTCACAGCTGGCCATTCCCATATAACTTTAATCCAAAACAAGTAAAGAAGGCATATAAAATAATAGCGCTAGTTAAAGTATGATTTGAAAAAGGCTTATCATGGACAAAATAAGAGCTCAATTTTGAAAAAAGCTAAAGCTCAGAGAAAATTTATTAGCTACAAATATACTCACTTAGCTTTCAAAAATTTCCCCAATAGGTCCCAAAGCAGGAGCCACTCTTAACTAGAAAAAAAAATAAAAAAACCACCACCACAATCTCCTACTATCCCTCCCAGCAGCACACAGAATACAAAGATACCATTATGTTACTGCCAGAATAAGAAGGGCACAAAAAGCCAGAAGAGGGAAGATGAATAAAAACAAAAGAGCAAACCAAAGGGAAAGAATACATTTGGAAGAAGACACAATAAAAGAGTATCTTGAGATGAAAACTTTTTCTTTCTTTTTAAATTACTGACCATAAAATTCCCTCTTATTAATCACTTATTTAAAAATGAAACCTTATTTATAAACAATATACAGTTACTCCATAGTACTATACATTCCCACAATGTTAAGCTTATCTAATACCTCAAAACAGTATACTGGCACAACATTTCAATTATGTTCTTGAAGAGAATAATTTTATGTGAAATTTTAGTATGTGTTCAGATCTGTTATTAAGATGATGCAGGATATTTATTATGAGTGCTTTAACAAGCACAACACATAGTGTCGAATAAGCTATTAATTATCATCTATATCTACTCTGAGTTATTTTCATTGTTTCCCTCCCTTCCCAACCATGGAAGTTGGCAGGAATCATGTTCATTTGGATAGGAGGGATAAATGAATTCATTCCTTCATTAAATATTTCCTAAGCACTTTCGACTCGACGGCACATAACAACAACTTGTAACAAGTACTTTCTAAGTTCCAAGCATTGGTTCTTTTACTGTGACTCTATGCTTTATTAGAATCCTGTTTTCAAATTGGTATCCAGTTTGCTGATGATAAATATTTTTCTGTTAGGATGACAATCACTCAAAAAATTTCTATCAAAATCTAATAACCCATGTAATCAGGTAGTCAGTCCCTACTGGGACTGTGGATACGCATTTACCTCTCTTGGAATAAATAAATCAATCCTAAAAACGCTTATGTAATTAAAAAATCTCGTAAAGGCCACTTTTAACCAGCTAAAGTCAAAGCCACTGCCATTTCAGAAAATAGTTTGCTCTCTAAAAACAGGTGTACTAGGGAACAAAGAAATCCACCCAGACTGTTTTTAATATGAGCTCCTTAATGCTTACCTGCCTAGTTTAGTAAAAACAAAATTACTAAATTTAAAAAGAAAACTGAGTAAGACCCAAACTTAAGATATTTAGTGTATTAAGTTTCATAAAATAACTAAACAACCTTCCAGCCTCAGAGTTAACTAGCTGAAAAAAATTATGTAGGGCTTTGTAAGTTTCCTTGAGCTTTTTTTAATAGGCAGAAAAAGTCATGGTAAATTAAAAGAGACTTAATGCTAAGCATGCTTTTTCATCTATGCATATTATGAGATTTTGTTTGTTTTTATAGCTACAGGCACATCTTTATAAATAGCAATGGGGAAAAAAATTCACATAAAGCAGATTCAAACAGCTTTTTTAAATGGTGATTTCACTGATGCTGCTAATATCTCTAAGCAACTGAAGCCCTGTGCTAAAAACAAATGGTTGGGGATGACTCGGCAAAGAAAGGAGAGACAAAGGCATGGGTTTTGGTAAATGAGTAAAATTCTTCCCTTATTCCCAACTTGTCCCTAACTCTAGATCCAGTGCTTCTTCCTAAGCCACAATTTACCCAGGCTAATGTGGATGGATATACATTTAACCTCTCTTGCAATAAGTAAATCAATCCTAAAAATGCATATGCAATTCAAAAACACAGTAAAGGCCACAAAAGAATACAAACCTAAGTACTTCAACAAGAAGGGGATGACTATAGACATCTGAACTCAGAAGCATTACTTGCAGTGCTAGTGTTAGGAAGTCTAACAATTTGGTCTGAATGATGATGCAGCGTATCTTATAAGTAGCATTCTACATAAAACAAACAGGACAAGTCTGTCCTGGGAAAACCTAACAAAAAATATTTTAATATCTTAATGAGGAAACCAAAATTACACACCAAGCACTTCATAAAGCAAAAAGCAAGGAGTAGACTTGCATCATGTGTGAAAGATCCTATAATTAATCTTGGCAAAAGTAACAGGAAAAAAACTGCCATAACATATGTCATTTCAGCTGTATATATCATATCCAGTAGATTTTAGTGCATTTCAAATTTCAATGCAAAGAAATTAGTCATTTTAAACTCTTACTTCAAAATACTTTAATATATCTTCTAAGCAATACCTACTTCTTTCAAGCCAATTCCAACAATAATTCTTAATGTATTACTCATCCAAATTGGTATTTTAGTTGACACCCACGAACAGCAGCTAAATCCCTCTTTGGTAAACTATCCTTCTTTTTTAATTTAGCTCCAGATTAGTAATTTCTAACCTTCAGCATACCTGGTATAAACAGTGGCACACACTTCGAAGCTGAGGTGGAAACTCTGAGGAAGAGCTGATGATGGCATGGAAGAACTTTTCAGTCATCTGAAGGAGATTCCGCTGGTTTTCTTCAAGGCTTTCTGACTGTTCTAATCTACCAAAAAAAAAAAAAAAATCACTCCTTAAAAAAGAGATTACTTTAGATATTGAGCCAAACATAGTGTATAGACCTTGTGGTATCCTGATAAAAAGGCAATTTTTAGACAACTTGGAACAATTTAACAAAAAAGTAATCTTAGGGATTATTTTAAATTGTACTGGGTGTGATAATAATTGGATATATTTTTTTAAGTCCCTATCTGTTGGAAAGATGATTCCTGGGCTAGGCTTTAACCTATATGAGGACGGGGCAAACAAGGAAAATAGACAAAACAAGACCAGCAGAACACTAGTAACTGCAGAAGCTGCAAACTGATGGATATTATATGAGGGTGCACTAAATTATTTTATTATATCTTAATATTAAACATGTTATTGGTGTCATGTGCCTTCGAGTTGGACCCGACTCATAGCGATCCCTCCTTGGGTTGCTGAGGCAGTATCACTACGGAAGTATATTGCCCAACCTTCCTTCTGAGGAATGGCTGGTGGGTTTGAACCGCCAGCCTTTTGGTTAGCAGTCAAGTGCCTTAGACACTATGCTACCAGAGCTCCTAATATTAAATATAGTATATTATATTTGAAATCGTTCTACAAAAACAATTTATGCAGAATAAAGGATTTCTTAGATACTCCATTGACCAAATGAGATCATGCCATTTTTCTTCTTCCTTTTGACAACTCAAGTTCTTACTGTGACTTTTTCAATATTTATGGCTGTAAACCCACTATTACTCAGATATTATCACTTTCTTTTTAATACCAGATCCCATGAATCTTCTTGAAATTCTCTTTCCTTGAATTCCACGACCCTGTATTGCCTACCTAGTTCTACCTCCTTTCTGTGCCTCCTCTTCTGAGTCAGCTTTCTCTTCTTAAAACTGTGCAACTGCGTCTCCCACTGAAGGAGCCGTGACGGTTCAGAGGTTAAGTGCTTGGCTGCTAGCCAAAAGGTTAGCAGTTCAGACCCACCAATCACTCCACGGGAGAAAGAATCTACCAACCTGGTTCCATAAATATTATAACAATAACGGTGACACAACATGAAAAATGTTATCAATGTTCCTGAGCTCTAAATGTGAAAATTGTTATTTTGGTGAATGTCGTGGTATGCATGTGTTCACCACAATAAAAGTAAATAAATAATAAAAATTACAGCCCAGGACATCCTATGGGGCAGTCACAATCAATCCTAAAGGGTCACTATGAGCTGGAATCAACTGAACTACACAAAACCACCACCACCACCTCCCAGAAGCATTTTCCCTAGACTCTTCTGGCAAATTGTTAAAAAAAAAAAAAAAATCTTGGCTTCAACTACCCAGCTGTATGCAAATGACTCAAATATTCTGTACTAAATATCCTTCTTAATTATAAATTATTTCTAGATACCAAAAACAATAAATAAATACCCATGTATTTACCATTAAGATTTAACAAATACTGATATTTTACTATACTGTGTTAATTATCACTGGTGACTGGAATGCAAAAGTTGGAAACAAAGAAGAATCACCGGTAGTTGGAAAACTTGGCCTTGGTGACAGAAATAATGCTGGAACTCATATGGTAGAATTTTGCAAGACCAACGACTTGTTCAT